ATCTGCGACTACGACAACCGGCAATTGGTGCGATGGCCTCGTCAAGGTGGCACAAGTGGAGATATGATCATCTCGAACATCGACTGTTCTCGCTTGACGATGGACGATCAGAGATTTCTCTATATCTCTGACTATAAAAAGCATGTTGTCAGACGATGGCAAGTGGGAGAGAATCGTTGGACAGTCGTGGCAGGTGGCAATGGGCAAGGCAGTCGTTTCGATCAACTCAATTGGCCTATGTACATCTTTGTCGATCAAGATCATTCTGTGTACGTGTCGGATTTTGATAATGATCGTGTGATGAAGTGGGTAGAGGGCGCGAAAGTTGGCATTGTCGTTGCTGGTGGTCGAGGGAAAGGAAATGCTTTGGCACAATTAAACGGACCTCGAGGAGTTGTTGTCGATCAATTGGGTACTGTTTATGTGGCCGACGAAGAGAATCACCGAATAATGCGTTGGCTGAAAGAAGCGACAGAGGGAAGTGTCCTGGTGGGTGGAAACGGTAAAGGGGATCAAGCAAACCAGCTGCATTATCCCAATGGTTTATCTTTCGATCGTCACGGCAATCTCTATGTTGCCGACAGCTTCAATCATCGTGTGCAAAAATTTCAACTATTATCACCATGATCTGTATCTCTAAGGCTAAAGAATAAACTGATGTCGTGGCGACACGACAACTAAGTTCTCAGGTCCGAAGGCTACATTAACTCAATGGATCATATCTACTGCTCGGAGACCGAAACGAACCGAACCGATAAAGTGTGTCTAGAACAGTTGCTTGCAGGGGCATTTGCGTAGTGTGTGTGGATATCGTTCTTGGTTTTTATGTACATGGTGGGAAGCCAGACACTCACATTGACTCAGCCCCACATATAAAGTCAATCAGACTCCACACCCTCACCCTTAAGAACTGAATCGAGGTCATCCGGTTTAGATTCGGTTCGTTTTCGGTCTCTGTTACAAAGCAATATCTTAGAGCATAAAATCATGAAAGATAATAGCTGCAGAATATTGGATGAAAGTTGGATACTATGAGTAGTTCATGTTATGATGATTTTTTTCAGAGATGGGCAGCTCCGGCTCCGGAGCCGAATTCCTTTATAAACGGAGCCGGAGTCGGACGGGAAACATTGAATCTGGAGCAGGAGCCGAAGCAAGGGAGGGTGTGAGTGTGTGTGGGGTGTGAGTGGGTGTGGGGTGTGGGTGTGGGTGGGTGTGGAGTGTGGGGTGCGAGTGGATGTGGGGTGTGGATGGGTGGGTGTGGGGTGTGTGGGTGTGAGTGTGCGTGTGCGTATCTAGGAAAGTGTACACCCACACCATATTCATAAGAAAACAAGACAAATAAACTAAAATTTGAAAGCGAAAAGAGTTAATCGATATGATTAAACTGTTTCTTCTACATCAATTGATATAAGTTTGCCACGATCCATAGGAAAACAAAACTATCAGAATTTACTTCATTTTATAATATACAATCGCGATAGAAATTATATAAATGCTAGCGTAACTCGTTTTCAATCATGATCAACATAGAAATTTATTCTTGCGATGTATCTTGCAAGCTATTACGAATTTCTATATTAGTGTGACTTATATATAAAAATGGATTCCAACTCAAATATACTTCAATTTGTTTTCTATGGATCATTGAACACTGATAAAAATAATGTTTATAGTAATGATTACTATTCATTTCTAATCATGTGGTTGATTTCAGACGTAAATTTACTCCGAACTTAAGGCATGTCGAATATTTTAATATTTAAAAAGAATCACCTTGGTAGGATATGTTTCAAGAAAATGTTAGTTTTTTTACACGAATTCATTCTTCTGAAACCAAGCATCTTGAGCGATGATATCGCCTATTGAAACTCATTGCTATGTAAAATAATGCTGTTATGGTTAAGAGAAAATCTTAAACTGAAATTCTAAACGATCATATAGTTTGTGAAAAAAGGCTTAATTATATTCTTTAGAACTCATATATTTTCGCAGAAAATAGTAAGTGTAAAGTTTAATTCGAAGTTTACCAGCTCACCCTATAAATCAATTTATTTTATAAGTAGTTAAGATCATATGAAGTTTCTAGTATTCTCGTCCATTGAATAAGTGTGCTCAACATATTATTTGTGATCTTATTTGCTAACATATGTATCACTAAAACTTTGACTTTTATTTTGACAATTACATATATATGTGGAAAAAATGGTGTGATAGATCAAAAATTTATATAATTATCTTTATATCTCTTGTAACATCAAAAAATCCGAGATAAAATAATGTATTCATATTCGTTCGTCTCTTTCCTAACATGCATATTCATGTTTAAAATTCCTGTTGAATTTATTCTTTCGGGGAACATCTTATGTTGTCTTGTAGTAAAAAGAAAGTACACATGAAGAAGTGAACTGATATAAGATAGACTTCATATTGCATAGTATAGAGTTTTATGTGGCGTTTAAGGTAACAATGTATTACGCTAAAATACAACGATTTACAAGCGTTCTTGATCGACCTGAATGCGCAACTTAATACCTGACCTTCTGACGTCGCTTAAAGATAAAAGAAACAATCATTCTTTGAGTACTGTTAGTTGTATGTTGTCTTTCATCGTGATTCCTTTTTTTTTCTTTCGTGCAAGAAAAAAAACACAAAATGCACCGAATATTTTCTCAATAACGGCTGAAAGTGTTAATCCATAGTTATTAATATTCTAATTAAGATTGATTGTTGAGAATGCAATATCAATGCAAAATGATGGAAAAAGTAGAATTAATAAAGTTCGGTTACGAACAAGGCTAGAAAACTAGATTTCAAATGAAATATAAATACCTCGAATAATGTTCTGACATTGAGAAGTCAATTTCGTACTTATAATACTAGCATGGAAAAAAAACAACAAAAAATTGACGGCAAAATCCCTCTAAAAACTATATGATTTTAGTTTCAATAGTAATCATCGTTTGATTATCCTATGAAACACAACAAGTTCTCCTTTTTTTATTTTGATAAAAATGTTTGAATTTAGAAACTGATATAGAGAGATGCTTAGATTCTTTACATGTTTATTGTTAATAAGTATACCTTTAATTATGGTTTGAATAGTTAGTCACTCATTTGAAAACGAGAGGAATGAATAATGTGTTTCAACTTACATTTCTTATTCACGTTATCACAGTAATTCGACTCATATCACAGCAGAGTTAGATTTTGCATTTCTGCCGTTAGTTTGCTTAGTGAAACAATATCGGTCGTACAACCTTTCCACGTTTATATTGATAGAATATATAAGAACAGATGGTTTTTTTTTACTTTTAGACAAACACAAAAAATGTTCTCATTACTATTAATTCTACTACTAAAATTAGATATTAGCTATGGTCTCAAATGTATAACTAAGTGTTCGCTTGTTAGTCATCGCTTTTGTCAAACATTTAAAATTCCAGACGGACAATGACAAGAACGAAATTCAGGATTGGCTTGCTCTATTGATATGACATTTGACTATCACGAGAATTTGTATTATGTAAGTTTTGACACTCTTATGGTGTCGGCCGATCATTTTTATATATCATCTACACCCTACTTCTCTTATTCCATCAAATATCAATGTTCGAAAGGAACTGATTGTGTTCTTTCATATGCACAAAAAAGAATCGATGAAATGGTTAGTCGTGGCTATAATGCACGCATCATCTAAAGACAACTAGCTCCTATAATCGAGAATCCTTCAAGAAACGGCTCAATTCAATGTTATGATATGAGAAATGAAATAGTTGTATACTCATATAAGCAAATATGCTCTATAGTTTATGATCAACGATCAAATAGTATCAGATCACGTGATTGTCAGCAAAATACTACACCCAAAGTATTTGTTTATGACGGCAAAGGTCATGCAACATTTGATGTTGAATGCAGTCGTAATTTATGCAACACTGATGACATAATCTCACAAATCAAAATTGTATTCAACAATAATGGTTTAACAGATGCTAATGGACGACGCGTTGCCGTTGGAAATAATCAAATAATTTCCTCTCTATTAATGACATTAGCTTTGATTTTTATTGCTGTTTATTATTTTTGAAAGAAAAAAAAAAATAACTACGGAAAAATGAAGCTATATTTAATTCAACGAAATAGGAGAATTTTTTTAATCAATAGTTTAATCAATTGAAGCACATTTTTTTGATGATCATATATGTTTTATACAATCGATGAAAATAGTTGCAAATAGAGATCAAAATGAAACAATTAAAACGGATATTTCAAGTTTAACAGAATCAAAAGACTTGGTTATGTTTAGACAAGAAATGAATATCCTAGAATAATGAGGCTGATTGAGAATCGATAAAAGAAGTCATCGAATGGATTGGATGTTACTGTTAATTGAATGCTAATACCCACCACTACAGTCTTACCTTATCCCATTCCCACATCCACACTCGCAACCGTCAAAAGTTATATTTTGCGAAAAGGTTTTTAGAATGAATATGGCGAAATAGTTTTATTTGTTGAAAATTTGTTACATTTAGGAAGAATTTAATTTCGTAACATTAGTTGCTGAATGAATGATTGGGCAAAACCTTTTGTTTCTTTGTAGTAAACGTCATTATAGAAATGGCCATCTGAATTCCATTTGAGAATCGTTTCTTTTTTAATACAATTTTGATCAAGAAAAAACTGAAGTAATGTTGATATTGTTTCTACTTAAAAATTAACATACTTAACATTGTTAAGGTCGTATTTATGAAATAACTTACTTGACCAATTATCATTTTTCTTATTTTGTAAAAGAAATATTTCAATAGCAAATAAGATTTGCATTTCAAAATCAGGATCATTTTTGTAATATTCAATAATTGACACTCGACTCAACAAAAATTTATTTTTCTCGTTCGAAACACATTCATTCCAAGCTTTTAAATAACATCGAACAATCATTATTACACGATGGTCAATGTTTTTTCTATGTTGTATCTAAATTAAATATTTATTTAGATATTGATATAACCTTTATATGAATACCATACTTCGACATATTGATGAATTGTTACATCACTTGTATCAGATAGATTTTTAAAAAATTTTACCAAGTTTTTAAATGGTTTACGAATACGAACATATTGAGGCGTTTTCCAATTAGATTGAGTTGAACTTTGTTCTGTACTTACTGACGAGGTTCTAGGTGAACTTGGAATTGAATTTATTAGTTCATTTACTGCTGGATCTTAACGAAAAGTTTCAATCTCTCATTTTAGAGAAAATTTTAGAAAACTATTCTATGAACCATAGACGACTGTTTTTACTGACGTGAGAATTTTTGTTACTCGATAGACGTCTGATATTTTCGTTTATTGACTTCCGCTTACAGTCAAAACATTAGAAAATCAACATTCGGAAAAATGAGATAGTTCTGCTAAATAGATACAATAGCTCTATTTAGTTCGATATATACATTAGAACTTAATTTGCTAATGTTTTGACTTCGAGTAAAGTACTTGAAAATATTTTTTCTTTTTACTTGTGGAATTTCTTACAATTGAATCTCTCATTCTAACAATATATAAAAACATTTCACATATATGATAACATACTCGTAAATTTGATCGAATAGCCATGTTGATTGATAAAAGGTTCGGCCCAACATTTATCAACTTTTTGACCAATGAGTTGATCGATAAATTTCTCATTTGAATACCAATCGATTATTTCAGGCATTGAAATACAATGATGATCGAAAAATAATTGTAACAACATTGTCATCATTTCAACTATCATTATTAAAAATGATGTAATATAAAAAATAAAAGCAGAAATATGTTCTTACCTTCTGTTGGTCCTCTTTGTTTGAGCTTATTAAAAAAAAATTCCAAGGCAATTAATACTTTTCTTTCACAATCTCTTGCAGTGATATATTGTTTCACAGTCAATATATGTTTATTCAAAATTAACTGTTTATGTTTACCTCGATTGCTTTTTGTTTGATGCCATGTTTGAAGATATGAGAATACTAATGTAATAAGACCATGATTTTCCATTCTATCCTCATCTTTCATCATTGTCTGAAATTATTAAATATCCAATTTACCTAAGCAAAACTTTTCAACAGGCGAGTTTTGATCATCACATCTTCTAGTAAGAGAACTGTCAAGAATATGTAAACATTATCTACATAAGAATTCTAATTTGAACAATTTTTTTGATTTTCAATGGATGAAAACTTCTTTTTACTAAAGAATGTGTTTTTTACCTGAACAAACTCGTTAATTCTATTGGGACTATCTCGACCAACGTCTCGAAATAACGTGAACAAGAGATTGCATGGTTTCCATGTTTGTGTTTTCTTTTTTTTTGGACGTTCGACTTTTGGAAGTGTTGATGAGCTGCTTGCTGTTTCATCTAAACATACTTATTATTAAAAATTGTCTGATCTTGTTATGATTTACTGAATCAGTTAGGAATGGTGATTATGGTTTTACCTGAATTTTACCAGCAAGAATCAATATACAGATTATGACTACTTTCTGCTGCTGAACCTTGGAATATTTAGAATTTTATGGATCCCAATATTTAAAAAAATGCTATGTCAGGAAGTAGAGTTCAAACTATTGATTATTTTAATAAGAAAACGGTAAGTCAGTGATATGATCATGAAAACTGTATTTTAATCAATTTTCATATTTTTAATTCATTGCACAAATACCAGTCCTTGTTTCTAAATCGACAATAGATATGATACAAAATGAATGCTATAACACATTTATATTTTGCCTTTTTTTAATGTGTTTATTAATTCCATCATGAACCAATATACCGATCATTATGATTTTGTTTCAACTAGAATAGGATTCTCTCTGTGTTGTTATCTACTAAAATCATACATGAAAACTGGTACTAATATCCATTTCAAAATAGAAGATCCCTGAGTATTTTTTGAATAACTTTTGATAGGAACGAGATAGAGAGCTGCGGTTTTCACCATTCGAAAGAGCAATGCCCGGGCCATCGATCGGTATAGAACTCATTAAGACGAAAAGTGCTTTTTTTTTTTTAGGCCTCTTCTGATCAACACTTTTTCCGTTGTGTATTTTCATCAATTTTCACAATAATCTCAATTCAAATAATGTCAAAATGTAGCTCGAATCATACTTTTTTCGCTATAAAATTAATATTTTTTTTTTAATATCCTCATACAATAAGAGATTGAGAGACAATGAAAACTATCATAATTTTATAGCGAAAAAAGTGTGATTCGAGCTACATTTTGAAAAACTTTGAGTTGAGATTATTTTGAAAATTCATGAAAATATACAAAGGAAAAGTGTTGATCAGAAGATGCCTATAATAAAAGCACCTTTCGTCTTAATGAGTTCTATACCGATCGATGGCCCGAACATCGCTCTTTCGAATAGTGAAAACCGTAGCTCTCTATCTCGTTCCTATCAAAAGTTATTCAAAAAATACTCAAGGCTCTTCTATTTTGAAATGGATATTAGTTCAGATTCTTTCAAAATGCAAAATATTGCCATCTGTCGATTGTTTTATCTCAAAGTCAATATTAAACAACAACACTTCTCTTTATGACTTATTACTTCGTCTATTTGATTGAATCAAGTCAAATAATGTAAAGAAAATGCATACCATTGTTATCAGTATTGGAATTATTAACATTGTTCGAACTAAACGATATACTTTCTATTCTTTCCGTTAATTGAATATATAGCTTACTTCTGTGGATTCCATATAAGACAAGCACAATCTCTTTTGACTGTATCAATTGTTAATCGAATAGTATTGAGTATCTGAGGACTGATACTTCCTTGTATACATATATGTTCTAATGGTTCTTGAACTTTCTCTTTCAAACGTTGATTAAGTTCGAGTTCCAAGTGTTCAAGTATCGTTTGACGACTTTTTATAGAACTGATTATTTTATTATATTCTCGTTCAATTTGAGCCATTTTTTGGTTACGCCAGTCCGCGCATTTCTTTTCATCAGCCTTACGCTCTTCAATCGTCGTCTTCGAAGCATTAATTAAATTAGCACTAACTTGTTTGAATTCATTAGTAAGTTCATTAACTTCACTTAAAAGAATATTTTGATGATCTTTGAGATGATGCAAACATAAGCGACGCATACAATGAAGACAGATAACCGATTGAAAATTCTTACAAGGGCTTTCTTCACACTCAATCATTTTTTATTCTTCTTCACCTCACAAAAAACAGACTGTTAACAACTACACCTGTTACTTTTGCAACAGTTTTTGAGTTTTGTTTTATCATTCTGCCTTTTTTTCTCGTCCATCTTATTTTTAATTTCACAGATGCAAACACCGACACGTGTAGACGAAAGAGATTTAAAAAAACAAGACCTACATGTAATGTTATAGGAAAATTTTTGAAGGAGAACGATCAAAAGATACCACAATAACAAATGATAATAAATATAAAAACACGTCAGAACAAGAAAAAACAAAAAAATGGTCTTGTCTTAGAAGTGGATGAGTAAGGAGTTAGGTGATGATCTATTTTTAACCCTTAGCTGCCCTCATCCTCGAGATTAAAAACAACATCATTGGTCGATAGATCGAGATCAAAAATAGAGTAAATTAGCATTTCTCACCTATATACGAATCAATGAGTAATTTCATACTAATACAAATAGCTTTTGATAATTTGTCTATTCACTAAGTGAGTATAAGGAGACTTGTCTAACTGAACTGAAGGTATCAATATGAGTCGCTAATGTAAAGAGCAAATGAAAAACTAGCTGATCGGTGTAGGCCTGGCTCAAGACAAGATTACCACTCACACTCACGCATCATATCCTTGGTACCCAGTCTGATTAGACTGGTGCATACCTACTGTATACTAATTCAAGTTATAACTCGTATATCTTCATCCGATACAGCATCAGACGCGTCCAATCTCGAACCCGAGATTTGTCTGAGCCAATTCAATATTGAACATGCCTCAGCTTTGATATTAATATATATATATACGTCGTTATAAAAAAAAGAAGAAAAAACACAAATAAATCATTCTATAACACATTTCAATTTCTATACTCTTATCTTTTGATTTAATCAACTGTTAAACAATTTTTTTATTGATTTTTAAATTTATTAAGAAATCTAATTAATTAAAAACTGATTATTCTTTTAATTTACTCATAACACAATTATTTTACTACTAAATCATTCAATATATGGATATTATAATTATTTAGCTTATGCGTCATTTGATTTATTTAACAAATCACTTAAATCATAATCGTTTTTTTTTTGAAATTTTTTCACTGTTAAAATTGAATTATATATCAATCGATAGATTCTAACTTGCTGTACAAAAATGTATGAGTAATTGTATTTTTGATCACCAAAAAAAGATACTTTTGATTACCAAACATTTTTAGATACAAATAATCACCAAAAAAAAACATACTTTTGATCACCAAAAAAATATTTTTGATCACCAAATTTTATAGAGAGGCGTGATTTTTCATCACCTCTGGTTTGTTCGTCATGCACCTATATTTCATTAGGGGGCATCCATAAAGTTAGTTGTACCATTACAATCATGTAGCTGTCCTATTGGCATTAAAGAATATTCGTGTAAACATACTGTTGGTTTAGCAATTATATTTAACATGCATCAAGTCAGCGACAAAACACGTATTCAACCATTAGGTAAACGAAAAACAAGAGGACGTCCCAAGAAAGTTAGCACAGCTTTAAATTTGTAAATATATATTAATAAAAATAAGAATATTGTTTACTTTGTTAATATTTCAATGAATATTGTTTATTTTGCACATTGTATTTTACTTTGTTGAGAAATAAAAATATGAGATGCATTCTAAAAAATTTGGTGATCAAAAATATCTTTTTTTGGTGATCATTTGTATCTAACGGTTTTTGGTGATCAAAAGTATCTTTTTTCTGTGATCAACAAAATTGCTACCCAAAATGTATATATAAATGTTCTTCTTAACCCTCCCCCTCCCCATGTAGAAGTGAAAAAGGCCAAATCCAGGGTTTTTTTTTTCAGATTCAATGATTTGTGTATTTTTCAATATTCTGCCGAAATGTCTACAACAGGAATTAATTTTTAGGAACCTTATCATATCATTGTGTAACTTATTTAATTCTGCATCAAATGATATATTGGACATTATTTTAAAATGTTTTAAATGTAAGATAATCTAATTCTAACGATGAAAGTGGTTGTGAGAGTTTATTTTGTCTCATCCTCTCACATCACCCTGCAATCTATGATCATACATTTGTTGAAATTATAGAATAACAAATTTCAACATAAATACGAGAGTGTATTTATTGACCTATATGAGGTAATTAATAAGCAGCCGATTTTCGATTAAACTTCTTTATATTTCGTAGTCAACAACAATTTTATGTTTTAAATATTGATTCGTTACATTCGATCTTAATCTTAAATTATTCAAAAAAAGTCGGCAAGCGATACTTTAAGATAAGCGATAATTATATAATTATCTAAAACATTTTTAGCGAATTATTTTCAACACTAGTTTGATAGTCATCGAAGTTAATACATATTTAGGTTTATTTGCATCGAAGATCGTTGCACCCAATCTGTTTTCTATCGTGTTTTGAACCATACTCATAATGTTCTAAATCCAATTTTCTTATTCGAATGTAAAGGTAACACCGATGATACGAAATATTTGTTTTTTAATTTTATTTCTGTTCGAGAACTAGTGCAATCAGCATATTTCTGAAGTAATCTTGACGAGGATCATGTAGTTCTTCAGTTATCATTCTCTCTTGCTCTCAGCTACAACTTATCGCGGTTAAGATTTTAGATTCGGATTCGAAAACGATCATAGAAATTCTATTATTAGAATAAAATAGAATAATCGCCTACTCGATATGAACAATTGTAACGCTTCTGGTTGATTGGATTTCATACATGATACTTAGCCTTCCCATATCACTCACTCGTATATTATACATTGTCCTTACCTTTCTACCCCTGTGTTCGATTGCGGTCAAATTGCGACGCAGTTGCGCCGCAACTGCATCGCAATTGCTAAAAGAGATAATATACATGAGATTTTCATTTTATTAATATCTTTGTTGAGAATTAAAAAAAATTTGAAACATTAAAAAAATCAGAGTATTAAAAAAAGTTAAAGTTAAAAAAATTAAAATTAAAAAAAATTAGAAAAATTGAAAAAAAATAGAAAAGATTAAAAATTAAAGTCTAGAAAAAAGCTTTGAAAAAATTAGAAAAATAAAAAAACAATTGAAAAATTATTTGTGAATTATATATTCTACCTTGTGTGTGGTTGAATGAGTTATGAGCCGAAGTGTCATGGACACTGCCTTTTATACTGTCTTTCTCTGGCTAAGTTTTACTGCTGGAGTGTGGTCAATTACAAATAAGGAGGAGTGATCTATGATTGGTTGGCGCTAGTTACAGCGGATTGTACGATGCAATTACTGCGACGCAGTTACGCGCAGTTGCGATAAAACTTCGTGGTTAGGCGCAGTGGCGATAAAAACTTCGCAGTTGCGCGCAACTGCAGCGCATTGATCGCAGTGCGGATAACGGCGACGCAGTTGGTAAAAAGGAGGCGACATGGGTATTCTTATGCTTCTGTCCTTATCCTATTGTTCTCCTATATCAGCTTTCTCCTAGGCCTTATCTTCTCTCTTCTTCTATTTGCGTATATAAGCGTGTTCTACGTATGTATACAATGTGATTATATGATATGAAGGAATAGAATAAAGTGTCAAACCATCAGGACTAACATCCCTTCTATCAAAAATCGTCACAACAATCAGTCTCAATAGACTTGTTTACTAATATATTAAGAAACAATAAAAAATCATATTTATTCAGAAAAAAAAATCTATTGATTAATAAAATAAGTTCTATATATTATTGTATTCATTCATCAGTAGTTTCATCTGGTGGTCGTTGATAATCAGGATTGGTAAGTAAATAAACAACAATCAAACTGAATAAAGTTGTAAATACACCAAAAAAATCCATTATTAAACGTCTCTTTCGTTGTACGTCATTATCCGTAAAATATGATGAAGTCATTCCATGTTGAGACAAACCTGTTAGAATTGATATCACAGCAGATAAAAAGATTATTCTACCCCAAAATCGATGACTAAAATTAAAAAAACTCATTAAAAATGACTCAATCATTCAAGGAAAAAAAAGCAAAAGTATTACATTGGCATATACGAGTTACGGATGCGTAAACTTAATTTTGGAAATAAAAAACTAACAAAACCACATATCCATTGTAAAACAAATAAAATAAGTGTTGATAAACCAAGCCATGAATGAAATGTCATAAAATGTGGGCGTTTACCGAGATTTTTACTTCGAACTATAGCGGCAAATCCAACAGAACCAAATGCCAATGATAGTATGAGAAAAAGAGCATGTAATATTTTCACGGTTAATTTAGGTGTTTGTCTAAGTGTTCTGTATAAAAGAATAGCATTTCCATAACAAAATAATAAACCCATTGTCATCATTAATGGATGAAAACTAAATGAATTTGTTTTCCAATTATAAGTACCAGAAAATACATGTTTATCAAAAAATAAACCAACGAGTATAACACTTAAGAGACCAAATAATTCAGCCAAGCTTAATAATATTTGATAATTTACTGAAGAATCTCTTTTGAATATCGCGAACATTTTTCTTAACAATAAATCTTACGACTCAAAATGTCAGATAAATAAAACAACTCTTGTTATAACCTTGATGGCAAGCATATTATATCATAGCATTTTACTTATAGTTTATGTCGATATCAAATGAAAAGATTTCATATCTCAAGTGGCAAAGAAAAGCACTCGTCATACCGACATACGTCTTTTCCATAAGAATTACTTTTGCTCGATGTATAATGATAAAGCAAGTTTTTAGACCAATGATAAAAATCTTTCTTTTTTATTCTCCTAAATATTAATGAATTAATAGAGGAATACAGAATTATTGTCAGTTGTCATACATATTGTATCGATGGGTTTATTTTAATAAACATCATTTGTCTTTATAAAAAAGAAACTATTGAATTGGGCTTCTGAAAAACAAAGTCAATTCTCTAAATTTAATTAATGAAAATGAAATTGTTGAGAAAAAATTTTGTGACTATGAATAAATAATCAATGAAATATAAACTAATATTTGTCTTTTATATATTTATTCAGAAATAGAATCTTTGTGATTTATATTACCATTGCAAAGTTTTAACATTAACGTCGAGATTAATAGAATCCTTTTCACTTTCATCCATCCACCTTCATCCTCACAATTATGAATATTGCTATGCCAATGTGCAGTACAATACGAATGTATAATTTCCATTTTGGTACATTCATTCTCATGAAAAGAAGAATCAAATAAAATTTAAGGTATCGTCATTTGTTGAAATGAAGTTATTGCGTACAAATATAAGAATTAGATAAGGTGTATAGAAATTTATATACTTGATTTTATATTATTGTTTGTCAACATTCGGTTGGTTCGTTTCAAGTGATTTTAATTTTATGTCTTTGTTAAGTCTTGTTCTTTATCATTTTCTTCGATAGAGTTTATATTCTCTTTTAATTTATATTGCAACTCTATATCTTAAGATAAATTGCATATATCGACTGATAATCGAAATTCTGCAAACAAAAAGTACACATGATTTCTGTTTAATCTAGACTACAAAAAATAACTTTTTCTTACTATATAGTAATAAATTCTTCTTATGTATTATTCTTAGTTGTCATTTTAGATAAAATTCATCATCTCAATCAATACTCAACTTGCTTAACATTTAAAAACATCAGATTTATGTTGAAAGAGGAGAAAACAACGATCATATTAAGAAATTATTCAGAGAATATGCTATTATTTGTTGCTCGAAAAAGAATCGTACAAAGTTCGTACGCATAACAATTTTTCTCAAAATTGGTAAAATTTCAACTGAACAATTACGATAATTTTATTATACTATTGCTAATTCACTTTACTTTTCCATCGACTGATTGGAACTTCTTATTCTATTTATTGAATGCATTAACATAATGCAGGTCGTTCTTGATATTCATAAATAGGAAGTATATCGAGGTGATCATTTTTACATTCGTCAAAATTATTTTAACGAAATGCAACAAACAATAAAGTATTGTCATGATGGTCTCTGACTTTCATAAACATGAGCAGTAGTTGATCATGGAACACGAACAAAACTCAGACATGTCCATAGTTGAGCTTCTCCTTGTCAGATTAAATAAATTTATGAAATCGAATATGTCATCAATGAATCATTCTCATGGATATAGAGCTTGATTGCGTTACTTTTAATAGTTTTGCTCTATTTATAAAAAAAAACCTCGGATGTTTCTTTGTTTGATATATTTGGATAGACTTGAATTGTTTTTTGGCTTATATGGTTTTTTTTTAAATTTTATTTTCATCTTCTCGAAAAATTTGACAAACTCCACGAAATTCTGAATCGAAACTTTTCACTTAAGCATTTCCGTTCGCTGGAATTGATTAATGATAAACATTGAAGTAGATAGAAGAAACTCATCAAATTTAAGCGTACATATAATATTAAACAGCACTGATTCGAAATTGAGGAGAAAATTGAACTTTAATGCTGAAATTTGGTTCACTCTGGTGCTTATGAAAAATCAAGCTTATATTACTTTTCGCCGAAATTCACCTTTACAACTGAACATTAATTTGGTCAAAACTATGCAGATCAATAGAGCAATCGACTCTCTATTCATCTATATATATATCAAAGAAAAAAGTCTATGGTCAAGTAGAGAAAAGAATGGTGTATTAGTGTGCATAAAGATAAAAAGTTTCAGTACTTCAGTGGATAGTAAAAAATATTATCTGAGGAATGGTCTGCAAATTGTTGAATAAAAAATTCTGTTGGAAGCGTTTTAAAATGTATTGAGTTTTCGAACTAGATTCAAAGAAAAAAATTATGAAAACTATATAGTTAGATGTAATAATTTGAGTCTGTATTTCTCAGAAAATCAAAGTTTATAGTGAAGAGAAGGAATGAGCCCAATGAAGAAGATTTAGTTCAATAGAGAAAAAAAACCAGCTAATTATTCTAAATAAAATTAACAAGTTTCAGTTTCCGATTAAATAATGGTCACCGAAAAAATTATCTGAGACATAGTTTGACATTTGTTGGATCAAAACTCTGTTGTGGGTACTTTTCGAAACGTAACAATTTTTTTTGACAAGGTTGGAATAAAATAAAGTAAAGACTATATAGATTGACAGAGTACTTCATACTCTCTATTCATCGATGTCAAAATAAAAAGCATCCGAATTTGTTTTTTATAAGTAGATCAAAGTGTGCAAAACTGTCAAAAATAACATAATCAACCTGAAGTCTAAAACCGACCAACTATTCTTAAACAATAAGTCTATCAGTTGCTCATGGGAACCAGATATTTTTCGGACCTGGATTCGATCGAACCGTACTTTGATATATTTAATGAGGTTTTCCTATCGAAATTGGAACATCGCTCTGAAGATACGAGACACTTTTTTCCGGTTTTTGTATTTAACGGCTAGTGCGCTCAATATATTTCTTAAATGACTAGAAGCTATCGGATGCAACATTTACGAAGCCGGACACAAATGACTTTGAGGTCGCATCAAAATGAATAAATATGAAAGTCAAACATGTATTTGTTGAGATAACAATACTGATATGTTTCAAATCGGCGATTAAATGTGGATGTGCTAATCTGTTACGCGCTTCATTTATCGTCGAACTCTCTAGATTTACTGATAGTTTTTCTACAAAAGAAAAAAAAAATGATACTGAATTTTGAGAATTTTTACTTTTCCTTTTGAAACTAGAAATTATCGATTAGAATTATACAAAATAAGAGAAGCTTAACAAGAATTTATCGTACAAAATATATGAAGAGTAACATTATTTTTCTTCTTTTGAAAATAGATTTTAGCTGATATTTTGAAGTTATCAAGAAAAATTTTAGAATATGAAAAGTCATCAATTCTGGAATGATTATTGAATATTAGTATTGAATTATTGAAATACTTTTATGATAAAAGAATTAATTATTCATAATTGTCAGAACTTCAAAATGGAAGTTTCATGCATTTTTTTATTGTATTTTGCGTTAAACATGTAAACATCATGCGTATCCTTATGTTTTTTCTTTCTCACATGTGAATGCATTGGTTTTTGTTCGGTTCTTCGATGTTGAAATACTCTATGAATAACTTGTTTTTTAGGATTTTGTTTCATCATATTCATTAGTATATATCGAGTGAGTCAGGTTTATTTAACTGACAGTATTTTGTTTCCTTTATCATATTAAAAATAATTCATGTCACTTATTTCAGAGTTATATAAAAGACAATGCAACAAACATATTTACACTGTATTATTTATTACATAATTCGAACTACTTTGATTTAAATCATTTCACCAGTTGACATTAGAATGTCTGTTACTGCAGAATGTATTACAGGGAATTTTCAAACGGCATATACCAATTCTGCATTTTATGTTTTCAAATTCAGAACACCTGGTGGAAATGGTTCGTTGTATGGCACTCAATTACTAAATGTTGAATTAGAAGATAAAGATTGGTTAACAGTGTTCAAACTAGCAAAATCTTCAGGACTCTCTATCGATGATGATAGTGTCAAATATAAAGCATTTCCTTTTGTTTATGATACAAAAGGTATAATAGATAATGAAACGCGATTTGCTCGACTTTTTAACAATTTGAAGACTGTATTTCCCAATCATTGCGTCAATATTTTTATTTACAATGGAATCTGGGAATATAATGGTCTGGCTTCGGGCTTTGCTGAGTTTAGAAATGAATATAGCTTAGATGTCTGCATTGCTTTGAGTTAATTATTTTTTTTATTTTATCACTATAGATAGTTCAATATAGTTTGCTACTTATTTATGTTTTTTTTTGAGACTTAAATTCATAATATCTGTATATGATGAACGAATCGATTAATTGATTTTGTAATAGTTCATTTTAAAATGATGTACTTTTTTTCTAATAAATTCCAGAAATATAACTATCTTGTTGAACTTCTATATAAAAAAAAAATATTAATCATGATCATTGTTTATTTAGAATAAATAAAATTTTCATTATTTTCATCTGTTGAAATAAAATTATTTAGTAGAAACACAATTATTTCAATAAGCTTGATGCATATACAATATACTTTGAATTTTTACTTTGTTTTTAACTATTCAGTCGGTTTATTTTAAGTGACATTACGTTTATATGCTTCTTGACTCTCGTTTTTTCATCGTTTTCTCCTATAGTTTTATTTTCTTGTAATTCAAATTTTAACTCTATATCTTACGGTAGTTTTCTTCACTGGTAATAAATTCTTCTTATGTATTATTCTTAGTTTTCATTTCAAATAATATTCACCATTTCAATCGAAATTCAATTTATTTGACATTAGAGAGCATCAAACTTCTGTTGAACGATGAAAACCAATCCAATCTCGTCCATCTTAACAACTGATTCAGAGAATCTGCATTGCTAGTTATCATTCAAAAAAATAGTAAAATCTAATGAAATTCTCACTCATAGCAATTCTTATCAGGATTAGGCAGTTTTTCTGTTGAAAATAGCCTATTCTTAACTTCGAATGAATACATTCTCGATAAGCAATAGTTTTTAGAAGTGAGTTCCATTCTATTATATGAGAGGCATACTTGTTGACTCAAACAATCTTTCTCTGGAAATAAGTTCATCATATATTTTCTATGATTATTTGTCGCGAAGTCAATATCGAAGATTTGCAACATGGAAATCATAGATATTTTGACGTTCTGATCCAGTTTATCAACATCTTAGGATGATGAAAACTCATATTCCTGAGGCGAGGCATGATGAAGACCTTATAGTTATTGAAAACAGTAGAACAGATCCAACCTGTATACAAATCGTAAGTATCGCTCAGTTTGTACAAAATTATCGTAAACGACGAGTTCAGTACGACAAGAATCAAATGCTTCTTTAGAATGGATCGATATTACTTCCTTGTTTGCAACTGTGAGTTTTTTGCATGCGCATGTTTAAAGGATGAAGTATTAAGTGTTCGCTATTCAACAAAAAATGTGGAAGCAGGTACGTTAAAATGTTGCATTTGCACGCTTTAAATAAACCGTTCACACAGACAACTGACTTCTATCATTAAATGAGAGGAAGATATCGCCATCGCTAGAGACAAAACTAACAACTCTTACAAATAACAAAAACAAGTTCGATTGAATTGTCAATCTTAGCTGCACATTTTGAAATAAGTTTGAATTTGAATTAATCGATAAGAATTTTTTGTAAGTCCCTGTGGATGGATACAAGAGCGGATGTAGGTGTAAGTGAGGATATAGATGATGATGTGGTTGAAAAGGAAACTATCACACATTCCAAACCTGCGAAGCCACTTCTCCTCAATCATTCGTACTTCCGGTTCTCTGATATGTATTAGATTTATTTATTTAATATAGCTTTAAAAAAACTTCTGCTATTGTAATAATGAAATAGTGTAAGTTTCAAATGTTTCAAACATATGTCATAAGAATAAATACAAACGTAAAAACTAATGACGAAGAATAAATCATCAGTTAAACGAAGTCCTATCCAATGTTTGTTTTTCTTCTATCCATAAAATACTATTGAATAGATATTGCTACAAAAATCGAATGCAGAAAATTGGCTTTTTTTTAAATAATTACGCATATAAGAATCAACGAAACGCAATCTGATACATTACGAATTTGAATTTATCAAGGTTTATTCATAATAAACAGAACTTGAAAGGACTCTACATGGTAGATGTCGAAACCTACAACAACAAAGTATTTCAGATAAATGTATAGTTAAATATTGGCACGAGCGAAATTTTTCTCTCCATAATTTTTTTGATACTAAATACTGCGATTATATGCTCCTTCCTTCACTCAACAAAACGTATGTAGATACTTGAGAAATTCTCTTTCTTTTCTGTAAAATATGAATCAGAATGATGTAAAAGCAACATATCTGCAAATACTTGGAAAGAGTTTGATCAGCTTTATACGAAAATCAAATATAACCTATTCGTAAGATTTTTTTAACACATTGCGCCATTATTTTCTCTTCAGAATGCACTCAATGAAAGGCTTTCGAAAATTGTCCGAATCTGGAGTTATTCACATCGGAATAGTGGTCACCATTTAAAACTGAGTTGAATAGTGTATATTTCACTGGAAAATGTTCTCCAATAAAATAGTAACTGTACTTTCCTTCAGTAATTTGTTTCAGAAATTCCACCTGTGGCGTTTCTGGAATATATTTTCATTGGAAAAAATTTTTCGCCGAAACATCATTCACCTCAGTTTTCCATGTGCAAAAAATTGGTTTCGAACATGTTGTCCATACAAATCGTGTATGTCGTGCCTGAAACTAATCAAAGGAGGATGCTTTATATGAAAACAATCCGAATTGTTATTCAACACTGTGAAATCTTCATGTTTCAGTATTGCTCAATTTGTAGCTTGGTTTACTTCCCGTCAATCAAAGTCGTGTCAAGAATCGAAATTTGAACGTCATCAATTCTTCTGAAAGATCATTTCTTTGCTCTACTTCTGGTTCCTTGAACAGAAAGAGTTTCATGTCGAATATGAATCGATGCTCAAAACGAATACTCATTTGAACCAGAAAAAAATCAGCGATCAATAATCTATTTGCCTATCATTCATAGAAAATCGTCAAGACAAAAAAAACGAACAAGAGCATTATGGTTGTCATGGAGAACTATATGAGAATTTCATTGAAATAAAATTTGTTCTTTTGCTCAGTGCTCTAAGAATTCTTTTTCTTTTTATTGAGTATGCCTGACCGTCGAATAGAAAAGATTTGATCAAATTATCTGACACACAAATGGCATAGGAAGTGTTTGTTGAAAAAAATTCCAAACTGATCTGAATTGAGTTTATTGCAATTTGGAGAGAGAATAACAAATCGAATGTTGGTGTTACTGAAAGTAATAATTTATTTAACAAGAACTGTGGTTGTGAGTGTAGGGGTGGGTGTGGGAGTGTGATTTCTACTTTCTTCCTCGATAAACCTTGTTTAAATTGTTATATTATTCCTATGAAGTACCGATTATTGCTGAATATTGAGATTGACTTGAATAATTGTTTTCTCAATCATTTCTTCGATAAGTCAATTGATAGACAAAATTTCGTCTGTTTCAATCTCTACTGATAAATTTTCTTCGAGATTTCATAGTTTGAAAAAATTTATCTTGTATCACACTCAGTATATGACGTCATTGGATGCCACAAATAATAAACGAACAAGGATTGGCTAGTATGATTAGTAGAGAAAATGAAAATACCAAAGGTGTAATTTCGTCATTTTCTGTATACATGGTGCAAGAATAGGTCTTATCTATCTTGATATAAAAGCAGTGTATTTTTTGTATAAGGTAGGCTTTCTTTATTATGATGCAGGTTCTTATCTTACAAGCTCGTACGTTCGATAGAGAATCATCTAGATTTTTAATGAGTTTCTTCTCATTTAAGTGTTTATCGTATCCATCTTCTCGACGATTACATCGTTCAAGTTGAGTCCTTGTGCAAGATGGGATACCAAAGGGATTACAATATCAAAACAACTTTCAGATCCTCAAGCGATTTTTATTGATTCTAAAACGAATGCTTTGTATATCGCTGACACACAGAATGGTCGCATTCTGAAACTTACTCTTAATCAACCTTTGACAGAAAGTGTAATCGTAGCATCCAATCTCATCTCTCCCATTCGACTTTTTGTCCATGAAGAGGACGGTCAACCAATTATGTACATTACAAGTAAGTATCAATTCACGAACCGTGCCTGTTTTCTTCTTTATTTTCGATGTTCTACAGGCGAAGGTTCGAATTACGTCGAAAAATGGATGGAAAAAGCCATTCGTGGAGAATCAGTAGGCGACCATTGTCAAGAATGTACTGGAGTTTGGGTGGATAAATACAAAAATGTCTATGTCACTGATTCTGGACGATCTCATGTTAAAAAGTGGTTATTTGAAACGAACAAAAGTGTTGTTGTTGCCGGTCAAACTGATGAACGAGGACCGGAAAGTAATCGTCTCAATATTCCCGATGGAATCTATGTCGATAGTCGTGATGAGTCACTCTACATTGCTGACACAATGAATCACCGCATTCAAAAGTGGACCAAAGGAGCACAGCAAGGCATCAGAGTAGCTGGAGCAAAGGAACATACCAGTGGGCATGATGCCAGCACATTAAGCAGACCACAGGCAGTATGGATCGACGAAGAAACGAAAGTTGTCTATGTTGTTGACACAAATAATAATCGAATTCAGCGTTGGTTACCGAATGTATCACAAGGTGAGACCATCGTCGGACGAATAGGTAAGATAAAAGCCTGATATGGACCGGCAAGATGCATTGAAGAGGTTGAACCTAGAAAAAAATGGATATGCGAGAGTTTTCATATGGAAAAATTTGATGCAGATCTTAGCGAGGCTTCAAGAACGATGAATAATTCTATCGAAAAATAGATGCTGGTCCTGATTCTGATCAATTGAATTCTCCAACCTCCTTGGCTTTTGATTCGGATGGTCATCTCTATGTGTGTGATTCGCACAATAGCCGTGTTCAAAAGTTCATATTGATGGAGAATGATGTTTGTCCTCCAACATCAATAGGTAGCTTATTTTTCATGTATTTTTATTCATTGATTTTTTTTTTCTTCATTCTAATTTGCAGCAACTTTATTGATGAACACGTGAGTCAGACAATGTTACTTTTTCTTGTATCAATTACATTCTGACATCGATAGGGCATCGCTGACAACCTATATTTTCTCCATGGCCATTTGGATTTCTTCGAGACTCATTGGAAGAACAAGCTGATTGTGCTGAGATTGAACTTTAGGGTGTCTGACTTTTGTGAAGAGTGTAGGAGCACAATCAATTTGTCTTTCATGCGTCACAAGATTGATGAAATAAACGACCAGAAATGTGAATAAACATTCACCAAGAGTTGATCATGATTGATCCATTGAGAAATGTTGCTGAATTGCAATGTAAACTGTTTCAAAGAGAGACCATTTATTTCATCAGCTATCTTCTATGTAAGAGTGTGGGTGTTATTTGCAGAAAAATTCATATTTACATCCATGAAATCGCATTCATACCGTCTTTTTCGTACTATTCAGTTTGTTGTCATTTGTGTACGGTGTTAAATTCGATTGAAACTAAAGGTATTATTGTTAGTGCAGAACTCTATTTAGTGTACAATTATAGTAGAAAAAGGTACAGTAATATGTGAAATGGTGCGGGTGTGTTTGTCGCTTTATCCTCTTTATTCACATCCAGCGTGCGACAAGACAATGAAATCGTAACAGGTGATGCTAGAGTTTGGAGATGAAATGTTCCTTCATATTTCGATCAATTCACGCTGATAATTCAGTGACATAGGACACGAAGCTGATCATTGCAGCTTGATATTCTTCGGGCTCTTCAATTCTGTGAAAGTTCAATCCGATCATTTTATGATGCATATATCGATAAGCAAGACTGTTAGATACAGTGGAAGCCGACAGTAACATTATATCATTCAAAATTGACATAGATCGATCGATTCCGCATAACTCGGTCTCCTACAAGTATGACTCTAGATGTAATGAGATAGCGACTAGTCTACTTGTAAAACGAACATTCGCCTAAACTAGTCCGTTTGAGAATAAGCAGGTTTATCATTGAACTTTTCTGTAAATTTAAAGTCTATTACAAGAGATTAAAGAAGAGTCATTCAGAAAAATTGAAACTTCAAATCGATCGGGAAAGATTCTACTCAAAAGCATTATAGACAGCATATGAAGTTAGTGATCTTCGAGATCGAGCATAGTTTCTGAAAAAGTTCCATTGTGTTTGAAGCACGAAATACAGAGCAGAAGGTAACGTTAGTATTTGCTTATCAATGGCATAAAGAACGGTAGATTTGGAGAAGGAGATACTATAATTGAAGTAAACTTATTAGTTGATTTCTGCTATGAATAGATCGGTGACTGAATTTATACTGTCATAGAAATCAAAACTGTAATCTCTATAAAATTTCGAGTACGACTACCACAGAAATCGTAGGCGACTATGAGTATGTACTTATGCTTGAGCAGCTCTGGTTGTTGCATTTCTTCAATATAATGCTCACATTCAGAAGACAAAAATCAATCGAAACATAAATTAGAAAAGTACGTATCTTTCTATTAAATACAGAAAAAATCGTTTATTTGTCAATTTGTTACAACACGTTGTACTAGTCCAACTGATCCAGGTGATGGTGCACCTAAATCATCAAATATTGTAATTAAATTATTTTTCAGCCTAAGCCAATCAGGTGGAATATGATAATAACGTTGAGTTGGTTTTAAACAATTGATTTGAGCATGTTGACAACAACATGGTTGTTTATTTTCACAAAGACCTTGAATTAACCAATAGAGACCAAGATCATTTCCATTAATAAATGCATGACCACGATTAAGACCTTGTGCATCAAGTAAAATTGGATTAGCATTTGTATCTTCTCGTATAAGATGATCTAAATCAAATCGTGTTTGAAACCATGTTATTGGTTGATTGATACCCTTTGTCCATTGAGCACCCCAATCAACTCTAGATGAACCTTGTTCCGTATAAATTTGAAGATATTCACCAACTAAACCTTTTTGGTGATTCCAAAAATTTGTTTCTGTTTCATTATCTACTAATAATTGCCCATCAAGCCATACATTACCGTCAATACCTTTCTGTTCAAAAGAATTTGCATATACACCACTGAAAAGTCCAAATGAAATCGAAAGAATTTCAAATAAATATTGTTGATTTGTATTGAAATGTGAAAGATCCCATGCTATAAAAGCTTCTGCACTACCTGCTTGATGATTATGATCATCAAATTCACCCAAATATTGTCCATTCAAAAAGAAAAGTAAAGCATTAGATATACGTGTTTGAACTCTTACTATTGTATTTGCTGATGCTTGCTTTAATGTCACATTACGACGATACCACAGATAAATAGTTTCATCATTTGTAATATTTAGTTGTCCAATAGGATTTGGAGAAGTGATTACTGATAAATTTGATTTACCTAATGGCTCTGACCATATTTGCCAATTCAGTGGACCGACGACAATAGGAACTATTTCAGTATTATTACTAGCAATATCACTATAATTAGCACTATTCCATAATAAAGTCATATTGTCATCATATATTCGAACAGATTGATCACTCATTGAAATATTTTGATTACGAAAAAGTACAAAAAGTGGTGAAGTAGCTTGATTAATAACAAAATGAGTAGAAGGTGGATATGAATAAACAAACTGTGAAGTGCCATTTATCCACGCTTTTCCATTCCAATAAGGTATTGTAGTACGAATAGAATCTTGACTTAATAAAACTTCAGCACGATCAGCGATCACATGTTGCAGACGACTTAAATGAGTATATTTAGGTTCATTTGGCGTACCGTCAGCATGAAGACATACATCATCAGCGTATAATGTTGTCACACCTGAAGCTGCAATTCGTCCATAATTATTTCCACCATGCCACATATAATAAGCATGATAAGCACCACCACTGGCAAACCATTCGGCAACTGAATAAGCGACATCAGATGTTTTACGAATAGAAATAGGTTGTCCCCATTGTTGAAACCATCCTTCATTTTCAGTGAACATCAAGGGCTTATCTGGATATATTCGATGATGTTGATCAATCCAACCATCATCCAAACAATTACATGAATTACATGTTTCAATTGTTGAATTAGCGGATAAACCATTACACATAATCCATGGAATTTCTGTTGGTGAAAGTTCCTTGATTACTAAACTACCACACCAATCAACATAAGCGTGATCATTGCCCGAATATTCATTTTCAATTTGTGCAAGAATAATTGGTCCACCATTCTTAGCAAGATATGGTGTTACATAATCAATAATATTCAAAATAAATTGACGCATTAAACGTTTCCATGCATCATTATTTGAACGAAATGATATATTAGGTATTTGATTAAGCCACACGGGTATACCACCATAAGTCCATTCAGCAGATACATAAGGACCAATACGTAAATTAACAAATAGACCAGCATTAGCAGCTTCTTGAAGAAAAGCACTTAAATTAGCACGACCAGTAAAATCCAGTATACCTTGTATTTTTTCATGAAGATTCCAAAATACATATGTTTGAACTGTATTAAGACCTTGAGTTTTAGCCATTTTCATTATATATGGCCACATAGCTGGTGTTGAACGAGGATAATGTATGGCACCCGATATAAGCATTGTTCGTACACCATTAATTGTGATTGCTCGATGATCATAACCAACTTTATATGGTGTACCTCTGACATTCTCGTAAGTAATTGGATTTGTTGCTGCATAGGTTAAGATACCAATACAGGCATATGCTACCGGCAATAGTCGCATAATTGTCTTTGAAAGTACACTTGAAAATTGCTTACCATTTAGATAAATGACAAATTTTATGTTTATCTTTATTCACGTTTCTTTCTGTTGTTAGTCTAGATGAGAGAAGAAAATAGGCATGATAAACATTGTCAGTATCTAACTAACTGACTGTCGGCTTGTTTTGAAAGAGGTGAAGATAAGTGAGTCCCACTATTGCGTCTCATTTATCCTAAGTCTTCTGGATGAATCAGATGTGAATATACGTTTCAACGCTTCTAGTCTGAACACAGAGTTGCTAGAGAGGGTATGGGTGTGGATGAGTGTTCAATTTTCAGATATCGACACCTACACTCGGTGCACTAATGAACTCTATAGAACATCACATGACTTATCGATTGAAGTTATTCATAATAAAACTTTCATCCAAAAACTTGTTTCTAGACATGAAACAAATTTTGATTTTTCTTCTCTTGTTAAATTTGTTTTTCTTTCAATTTTCTAATCTGCGCTCTAGTACATAAAAGTATTCGGTCTTTCAGTTTGGAAAAGGTTTCAAATACTTCTATTCTAATTACATTATAGAATGTACTATCTAATCATTGAAACGCCTTGTTAACCGATAAAAATACATTAAATGACCCATGGCACTTCGTGTGGGTTTGTGCAGCGCACGGCACACTGGTGTGTAATAGATTGTTGTTGTTTTTTATTTTCAAATATTTTCTTTTTGTGATTATTCAGTGACCTTTTTGATAACCAAGTAACCTATTTATTTTTTTCTTAACCACAGTCTTCTTGAACATATTCGCGTATCTTGATTTTTTCTTTAGATTTGTCTGCTATCAATTATTTTAACTGATATTCTGTATTGCCTATCGTGCACAACTTGTAAATGAATAAAGAAGATCGTTTTTCATCGAACTTGAACATTCC